ATAATATCTTGAATTTGACCCTTTGTTTAACCCCAAAGTTTTAAGTTTCAATACTTCTCACCTACCACCTATGAACTTTGTATTTACTCTTTTTTATAACGTTAGATTCAAATCTGAAGATGGGTAGGTAGTAGTACTATAATGTGTAACGTTTCATTTCTAATAGTAATCAATATAGGTCAATTTATGACGGTTCATTTATAGTTTCGTTGCTTGGAATTCTGATTTTATTTTTTTGTCATTTTTGTTTTTAATTTTCAGGTATGATTATTCAGGCTACGGAGCTTCCACTGGTAAGGTGTGTAAATGCGTCTCCTCTATTAAACCTAATTGATAGATGTAAGCTAAGTAACATATTTATTTTTCGTCGAAAATGTAACCTAGGAACCTTGCTAGGTTGTTGGAATGTTCTGTATCAATCTCATAGAGCTTAGGAATGTTTGGAACAATTGTTAGAAGTCGAGAATTGCCTCTGGTTTTATATTTTACCAATTGTTGTTTATAATTTGTGTTTGCAGCCGAGTGAGTACGATACATATGCGGACATAGAGGCGGTTTACGAGTGTTTGCAGACCGAATATGGGGTTGGGCAAGAAGATTTGATCTTGTATGGTCAATCCGTTGGTAGTGGACCGACGCTGCATCTTGCCTCTAAGCTTCCTAGGCTTAGAGGTGTGGTTCTTCATAGTGGCATTCTCTCTGGTCTTCGAGTTCTATGTCATGTCAAGTTCAAGTTTTGTTGTGACATTTATTCGGTATTGATCTCTTTCCCTTTCTGCTTGTTTGTTATGATCTTTTTAAGGGACTCGAATAAGGACATAGTTTCTTTTGAACCGGTATTTTCCTTTCTCGGATAATCCAAGATTTACATGAACCACATTTAGCACATTTCTTGTGAAAGTTTTGATAGCCTACAAAAGTGGCTCATTTAGAAGCTAACCAGTTTAGTAGTAACTATGGCTAATTCTGGAAGCGAATCGGTCTTGGGTGCTAACACTATCCTTTTGTTGAACCGCAGAATGTAAACAAGATCAAGAAGGTGACATGTCCGGTTCTTGTTATACACGTAAGTGAACTCACATTTTGTTCATATCCTCTGCCTCAGCCCTATTTAAATCCGATGAAATTTTACCGCTATCTATCGTTCTTCAGGGAACAGAGGATGATGTGGTGAATTGGCTTCATGGTAATAGGCTTTGGAAAATGGCGAAAGAACCATATGAACCGCTTTGGATTAAAGGCGGTGGACATTGCAACCTCGAAATCTATCCGGACTACATTAGACATCTCTACCGGTTTATACAAGACATGGAGAACACAAACACTAAGTCTCGTCTCAAGAAAATTCGGCAAGAAATCCGCCGGCGCGACGAATCCAAAGGATGTTGCAGTTTCACTCTTTGCAGACCGAAATGCCCTCGGTGTCCCAAACCTAGTTGCAGCTGCACTGGCAGTTGTAGTTGCGGCGAATGCGGTTGTTGCAAGTGTTCATGTCCGTCTTTGAAGGGATGTTGCAAGTGTTCATGTCCGTCTTTGAAGGGATGTTGCAAGTGTTCATGTCCGTCTTTGAAGGGATGTTTCTCTTGCTGCAAGAAACCAAGCTGTGGTAGTTGCTGTCCAAAGATCAAATGCGGTTGCTTTGGGAAGCCAAAATGTCCGAAATGCTCTTGTTGGAAATGTCTGAAATGCCCCGAGTCGGATTGTTGTCGGTGTAGTTGCGGCTGTGCCGGTTGTTTTAGCTGGCTGTGTTGCTGC